GTGAAGTGGAAGATCGCAAGAAGGCCCTCGTCGCGCTGGCGCAGCAGGCGACGAAGGAGGCGTTCGGGGCCCTCGAGGAGCGCTGCGACCAGATGGTCGAGGAGCAGCGCAGTTTCTTCAAGAGGATGCAGGCCAAGCCACGTCGTGGGCCTGATGGTGAGGCACGAGCCCCACATCCTGTGCAGGATCCCCCCGCTGCCGAGGGGGCAGGAGCGGGAATTGGGCAGCCTGCTCAGGCCGGCGCCAACACGGGCGCCGCCAGCTCCCAAGGTGCCTGCGCCGCGGCGGCGCAAGCGCCAGCACCGTCAGTCGAGGACCTCTTCGAGCAGGCGCAGAAGGCAGTCCAGAGCACCAAGGACGGCAAGGGCTGCAAGGGGAAGGGCACCGCGCCGTCCTCGGGTAGTGCAGGCGAGGCCAAGGCTTCGCAGTCTAAGGTTTAACTTCGAGGAATCGTGCACCGGTGTGCCCGCACTGCCGACGCCACCCTCTGCAGGCCGTGCATCTCTTGCGTCGAGGCGCAAGCTCGATCTTGGAGGAGCGACGCAGCCTTTCGCAATGCAATTCCAAGTGTCAAATCATTGTCTCCTAGCACCAAGGATCCTCATATTCTCTTCCTCCAGGAGATTAGAGTTTCGCATCTACGCGAGGCGGAATGTGAGAAAATGCTTAGCGGCCGGGGCCTGCCGGCTTTCATTGCGCCTTCTCGGGGCGCAGGAGCTGGGGGCCTGCGAGGTGGAGTTGCCGTCGGAGTTCCAGCTCGTACCGGAATGGAGAATCCTCAAAGTCGCATTCAGTTTTTGGCTTTCCCCCGTCGGCTTATGGTTAAGTGGGCGAGCGCGGTGATTCCCGGCGGTTTCCTGGCCGTGTCTATCTACGCGCTGGCGACTGATCTTTTTCGGGGCCGATGGGGCACTGTTTCTTGGCAGGTTGGGAGCTTGTGCGCGCAGCTAGGTTGCAATATTTCATCGGGGGCGTTTGGGCTGCCCTCCGAAACATTCTGGAAAGCTAGACTGGGCCAGTGAGTTAGGTGGGCCCATCATCGTCCTGGCGCCCCCGCGTGCGCGGCAGAAAATAAGGCTTGGCGTGTGCTTGATTATTTTGTATTTTCAGATGCTCCGGTTCCCTCAGCGGCCTCTTGCGCTGTCTGGCCGAATCCAGCGCCGCGGCCGCGTCGGCCTGTCTCGCTGCGTCTTCGAGGGAAGTTGGCACTTCAGTGCGTCGCCGTGCTCGGGGCCCCAGAGAAGTTCCCAAATGAGACCCGCGTCGGACTCCGCCCAGCCCCGCCAGTTGAAAGGGGGGGGAGTTATCCAGGGGATGGAGACCGCAGGGGACCAGCAGCAGCTCAACGGCATTTGTCCCGCTTCCTTGGCTCGGCAGAGAAGGAGCTCTTGGGCGCGCGCGCTATCCCAGAGAGTGAACGTCGCCAGTGCGATGGTCGAGGACAGAGTTGGAAACTGTAAGCCATCTCCGCCCCCCCCCCCCCCTTCCGCAGGCCCCCGCCGCCGCCTGGCCCCTCGGCGGGGCCCGGGGGATGCGGGGGAAGAGTGCTCAGGAACTTGCCAGAATTCGCTTTCAGGGCCCTGTTCAGGACGCGGTAGAATCGGCGGCGCTTTCTGTTCAGATGCGTTCGGGCACGCCAGAGGTCAGCGTCGCCTACACCTCGACGCAGGGCGTCTTGTGTGGCGCGACTCAGAGGCGCTTCTCGACTTGCATGGGCGCGCGGGAGGCTGCGCAAATATGTTGGAATCGGGGCTTGCCGGCAATCGCTCTCGACAATGGAGAGGTTTTGCACGGGGGGGCAGCGCGGGCATGGGGCTGGGGGGGCCCACCAGCGCACTCACCGCCCCGCCGATTAGCGCCCCGCGGATCCTTGACCTGGCCACGCACCCCCGGGGCCTCAGGATCTCATCGAGCAGAGCCGTCAGGATTGAGAGCTATGTGGGACTCAGCGGGCACTCGCGCAAAGCGTCTGCAGGACCCCGAAGGCATCTTCCAGAAGTTTAGGGATATGGTTGAAGATGTGCAGTGCCCGACATGGATGTCAGCCCTGAGTATATCCGACATGAAGCTAGGATGATGCAAGCGTGGAAAGCGCGTGGTGGGGATGGCTAGGTCCTGGACTTTCGTTTTCTATCAGATCAGCGCTTGGAGGCGCTACACTGTTTGCGCGGGTGGATGCTGCAGGGCGCTGTCTTGCCGTCGCAGATCTCGCGCGTTGCAGCCGGATCCCCCACGGCCAGGCGATGGCGGACATCGCGTTTGATTGCGCTGTTCAGAATGATGGTTCGTTTGTGGGACAGGTGCACCAGGCGGCCAGCAGCTAGTTGGGAAGACGAGCGCGCGCGGGGTTTCTCTTCTGGCACCCGGGGGGGGGGGTCATGCGAGTGAGCAGCGTGGGGGCGGAGTTGTGCGGCCGAGCACGCAGGCTTGAATCGCTTCGCGGTCGCCGACGCCCTGATTGAGCTAACCAACGCCTGCGAGGAGGCAAAGCATTCGCAAG